ATCTATCTATCTATCTATCTATCTATCTATCTATCTATCTATCTATCTATCTATCTATTATCTATCTATCTATCTATCTATCTATCTATCTATCTATCTATCTATCTATCTATCTATCTATCTATCTATCTATCTATCTATCTATCTATCTATCTATCTATCTATCTATCTATCTATCTATCTATCTATCTATCTATCTATCTATCTATCTATCTATCTATCTATCTATCTATCTATCTATCTATCTATCTATCTATCTATCTATCTATCTATCTATCTATCTATCTATCTATCTATCTATCTATCTATCTATCTATCTATCTATCTATCTATCTATCTATCTATCTATCTATCTATCTATCTATCTATCTATCTATCTATCTATCTATCTATCTATCTATCTATCTATCTATCTATCTATCTATCTATCTATCTATCTATCTATCTATCTATCTATCTATCTATCTATCTATCTATCTATCTATCTATCTATCTATCTATCTATCTATCTATCTATCTATCTATCTATCTATCTATCTATCTATCTATCTATCTATCTATCTATCTATCTATCTATCTATCTATCTATCTATCTATCTATCTATCTATCTATCTATCTATCTATCTATCTATCTATCTATCTATCTATCTATCTATCTATCTATCTATCTATCTATCTATCTATCTATCTATCTATCTATCTATCTATCTATCTATCTATCTATATCTATCTATCTATCTATCTATCTATCTAGGAACAACAACATAGTCACTCATCGAAAAACCCTTCATCGTCCATGGAAATTATTCCTTGCACAACATGCACATTTTGATAATATAGTTTTATTATTTGGACGTGCTGCTCAATCTGTAATAATTTTCGCATCCGTGACTATATAATAAACAACATATTTGACAAACGTTCCTTGAAGCTCTTATCTCTAACTCTTATTGAAAAACAGTTGATGGTGTCGAAAACGTCTTTTGGTTTGTTGTAGGAGTTTGCTAAAGTTAGGATATCGGATGACATTTACATCTGAACATCAATTTTAAATTTCTTTTACTTTTGAGCGACCAGATAATGAAAACTATTGGTCTATTGGATGTATACCCTAGGAGGAAGGAAAGGAGTGGACTGAAAAGATCGTGAGGCAAATAACTCTCTAAAGTTTTCTTACAACATGTGGCAGAGCGTTGTCATGAGAAGCTGTTAGGGCTTCATATCTTGTGTAGTATTTTTTTGATTGCCATTGACCGCTTATAACGGGGCGACCTGTAATGGTAGATATGTCATTAAAAGGCCAGACCTAACTTCAAACTACACATCAGTGCGGTTACGGCCTGCATGCGAATAACATCGGAATACCGTCAGCATGAGAAAACGAAGGTCCTACCAATCGGAGAACAGAATATAATGCTGACACAACAGTTTCCTCCTAGTATGTCACAAATCAATATAGACTTCGCTGACTTATGCAGTTCTAAGGCGGCCTTACTAAGTCCGTCTATCTGTCTGAAAATTATAAAAGAGCTTGTAATGGACCAAATTATATTAGGGATTCAAAATAAAACAAAACAAGTAAAATTTTCACTAGTATAATTTGTCAAGGTCCCACTGTAGTTGAAGTAAAATAAATTATACCTATTAGATATCGAAATTTAAATAGTAAATTTCTATAAAACTAATAATTACCGTTATATTTAAAAGGACAACAGGTTAAGTGTATAGAATTTAGATAGAACCCATGACATTTCTAACAAATGTTAGAAATGTCATGGGTTCTAGGCGATTTGTAGTTTAATTTATTTTGTATAAATAATATAAATTTTAAATACTAACCAGAATTTATGTTTGAAAGTCCTCGACAAAATAACCGTAATTATTGTAGCAGTAGTAGTATTGTTGCTGTTGTTGGTGGTGAAGCGGTTGATAATGATGGTGGTGGTGGTGGTTGTTGTTGTAGTAGTAAGAAATATTTGAATATCCTTTTCGTTGCCGTTCCAACATGTTATAGACAAATTTATGCTGAACACAATACAAACATTTTTGAAGCAGAATTGATTGATTTTTTCTTTCTTTCTTTTGTTTTCCTGCTTTATTTGATAAAATTTAAATTCAAACACTTTAATAGCTGCTCACACAAATTTTGATTTGATTTTATAGATTTTAACTAAAAGCCGGCTGGCTGTTTAATGATTTTAAAACACTAATAGCGGTCAACGGGCTAAGGTTTTGATAAGAATTATATTTTTGAAAATTAAATTATTTCATTAAGAAAACCAAACACGTACTTATACATTTTTTATTTCTGTTATTGTAATACCAACTTAATCTGGTTTTAATCTCTTTTTAAACATAAACAACAAAACCGACGAAAAAAAAACAAAGAACAACAAAAAAAAAACTTAAAAATCAAACAGAAAATATATTTTGTCAATCTGCTAATCTTGTATTTTACACTTTTATGTTTCTTTTTATTTTATGCACAAAATTGTTTAAATATTTTTTTTTTGTTTGCTTTATTTTATTGTTGTTATACTCAACACGACCACAAAAATTATTATAGAAATTGATTTTTTAAAAAAGAAAAATAATCCCGTTATCATCACCAGCAAAGAAGTCGTCTAATAACAAACTGTTCTAAAGGAAACTCGATAAACATTAATTTCCTGCTCTTATTTAAAGAACAACACAACAAGCAACCAACCCATTGTATCGAACCGGGTCGCAAGCAACCAACGAACTAAAGTGTCATCGAACCAGCAGCAAGCCCAACACCCCACATACAACATAGAAATATGTATGTGTATTTAGCGGGGTGTTTTTGGGGGTTGAAAGAACAATTTGTTTTGCAAGGCGGCAATAAAGCACAGTGGGATTGTTTAGGAAATAAATGGGAATTTTATTTTTAAAAAAGTGTGAATTTCGATCCCTAGGTAGTTCTTCCAAATAGTTTTATTCAGTTACAGGGTGTAACTTATACATATATTTTGACCTCTACTTAAGTAGTGTATTGGAACTAGGAAAATAGGTTCCATTAAACATGTTAGAGATCGTTCAACATCGAACGCATTAAGGAATACTTCAGCAGGAAGTTTGTTCCCCATACGGACGGCAAAAACTGAAGAATAAATTAAACTCTTTTGATGAGATCCCATCCTATAACAACTCGTACAAAAGTCGAGTGCTTTACATGGCCACCTGTCTTTCGGCCTCTCCCCGGGGGCATGTTACCTTGGTGAAATCTCCATCTTGGTGTTATTGCAATATCCCGGGGAAAATAGGTGCAACCAATACCTCTAGTCTGCCGGGACTATAAATTGATGGTGATCAAATGTATCCTCGGCCTTTCTTTGGAATGATTTGACATTAGGTCGAACCAGAGCACAATATAATCTGGCACTACGAGTGACCGGTTACCCACAGAACGTAGTCCTAGCCGATCAATAGGTTGAGGTTCCTTCGGGATCCACAAAGTGGCTGTGATTTAAACTCAAATTCGCGGAGAGAGATTATTGGTTTAAGGACTGATATATCCAACTGACATATATGTCTGTATTTTCTCTCCGGTGCTGTTGCCATCTCAACAAAAGTCACTGGGCGAAGTAACAGAGCAACTTATGCTGGATTCCTGAACCCGTCTCTTACTCTTCGCGTAGTAGGGCTCTAGTATAGGTTGGGGAATTTTCAGATTGACACTTGGTAGTTGCCTGCCATTCCGTAGATCGTTGGAATGGTCTGAAAATGGAACTGATGTAGGTTAGTGAACGATAGGAGCAGACTCCTTTGCGGCAGGAGACTAGTACTGATTTAGTAGACCGCTTACTTCAGGGAAGTTTTCGGTGCTGTTGTCATCTGAACAGGATCCATATTGTTTCATGCAACTCAACTTATGGTTGAGGTCCGTTTACTCAACTTGTCGGGGCAATTATTGGGTTCGAATAGACTTTGGAAATTCCTACATCCTTTGTCACATTATCTGACATACAGAGAGATCCTGATTTATTTCGGACTACTAAATCAACAGGGCCATCTCAGTAGTGTGGCTTTAAAGTTTAAGGAATGCACTGGAATGGGTCATTAGATAATGGGGATTGCATTTTAAATAATGCAATCTTTCATGACATCATAAGAGTGGTCACCTTTCGGTACACCGGAAGATTGATTTCACCTGATGTTGGGATTGTCTCTCCTTCTATTTGCTTTAGACCAGAATTTGTTTTTTTCTTGTAGGGGTTTACATTGGGATTGATCCCATGCTGTCTGACATTCCGCAACGGGGCTACCTAGAGACGTAATTGGTAGATCGAAATACGAATCCATCAAATAAGCAAAGAAAAGTTCTTACAGAGAACTCAGTGCTCTTCTCTTCACATTCATTGAATACAAAAACATCCGACAAATTTATCCTAGGGATACAAGTGGAGTGAGGCCTGTATAGCCTTTCATTAATTATGTATCTTATTCATCTGAAACTAACTCATTTCCAACGCTTTTTGTTGTCTTTTCGGCAACAGCACTGAACTTACCGTTCAGCTGATGACCCTTTCAACCAACATTCTCTTACCGCGATTTTTGGTTTAAACCACAGCCTCCACTTGGTCGCCGAAGGTATTAAGACGAAATCCAATACTTTGCCCTAAGGGCTACTAGTTCCCGTGGTAATAGATAAGACAGTTATTCTAGTACGATCCCAGGTCATGTCATATCAAGGAAAGGATATTTTACACCACCTCGGATTCTAATCATCTGGGAAAGATCTCTCAGCAATCTCAAAATGTTTGCGAGCAGCAGAGTACGTCTTGATTCATACTTGCGCTCAAAAGTTGAGCAGTTCTTTGGTAGCGGAAGCCATATGTTGCCAGAAAGAACTAACAATGATTAATACTATGAATTAATTTATATTGACAAATCTTTCAAAAAGCTAAAAAATAATAATAGTCCCGAATTTTAAACTTGAAACCCAACAAATCTTAAAAATATAATCAGTTAAATAACATTTTTACGTTTAAGAATTTCTAATAATTGAAATGCAAATTATTTTATATTTTTTTCATTATATAAATTAACATGTTGTCTAAATAACAGTTATTAATTATTAGTAAATGAATGTAATAAGGTATCTTAAATTAACATATATTGAAGCATTCAGTTTCACATAAATTTCACTAAATAGAAAATAAGCAACTTCGTTGTATTAACACCACTGAGTTGTATATCCTTTCCGATGGCATCAGTTTTGTTTATGCATATCTTAAGAAAAGATATGTCTTTTCTTAGTTTAAGTACAAACCTATATTCGTATAGAAATTTGGTTATCGGGCTGCCAAGTGTTGTACGTTTTATTAATCTAAAAATAAAGTTTTGAAAAATACGCGTTAAAGGTTAAATACGCAAATGTGACGAATGAAAAAGTCACATTAAAAACTTAAACTAGGTTCTAAAACTAAATTACGGTAAAAATAAGTAGTTGTTTCGAATCCTATAAATCCTTGTCATAATTTATTATATATTTTAGCAGCAGTATTGTCCAGTATTGTCCACCATCAGCCTTATATTATCTTTCTGGCAACATACATCAATCCAATTTCGGATTCTCTGTTCTGAACTGATGCGAATTCCAGAGAGATTACCCTACATCCATCGAAACAAATAGTATTCGAACAGCTTTTTTAAATAGTTTTTAATACATCTTGCAACATGTGGCCAAGCATATTCAAAATACAAATGTTACGACTACATGTCTGGTCACAAATTCCAGCTATTTTCGGCCAATTCCTACTTTTAATGAATCAATTGTGTTCAGTACCGGTCCCCTATGATCATTATGACAATTTCCCGCCAGGAATATTAGTCTATGGCGTTGATTTGGCTGGTTGACCGGCCTTTACATATGTTTTTTAGCATCTCGTTTGTCCTAATGGATCTATTTATCATCGACAGTAATTATTCGATATAAAACTAACTTCTTTTTATGATATTCACGTCCGATTTCAAAAGCTGCTTAGCAAAGAAAGCCTTCGTCACCTCAATAACGTGAAACATTCGTCATAATAACATTTCCATCCTAATTTCCCAATCACCGACATTGCCCAATTACTGAAATTTACATCCGAATGGTCCAATCACCGATATTTTTACTTCAACAACTCTAATGACGCTTTCTTGATACAAGATTCGACATTTGCGAAACAAAGAAAGCCTTGTTCACCTCTATAACGTGAACCATTCGTCATAATCACATTTCCATTCCAATTTCCTAATCACTGACATTGCCCGATTACTGAAATTTACATCCGAATGGCACAATAACCGATATTTTCACTTGGCGTGATTCTTGAGAACATTACATGGTGCTTCTTGGGAAGATTTCGGTGACCGACACAGTTAAGCGTAATCCTTAACCTAGATTTAAAATGGAAACACCTTCGAATCAAAAATATGGGCACTACGTCGGATAAAGCTCTAGAAACATTGCAGTATATTCTCGAGATCTAATCGAAATAACAGACATAAGGCGGAACTTACAGTTGAACGACTCTTTAAGCAAACATGTTATCAATATATACGGGATACATTGGAAGGCTAAATATCAAACGCAAACAAAATTTTGCGGGAATTTTGAAGCAATGATAACAGATAGATGGTTATCATGGTTAAACGAAACATAAGATGTCATTACATTGATGTCATCAGGTGATAAGGAATACACTATCAGATGTATGGTTTGCATCATAAGCATATATCGGTCCACTCGGGAATAATCGGCAACGCAAGAGCGAATATACTTGCTATAAGTGGCGAAAAGGCGAAAACGTTCGATGAAACTAGGGCTGAATTAAAAACATGGGCAAGAGATAAAAGCAGGGCCGCTTGTAATATGGTTAGAACCACATTGATTTTATAGGGTGATTCCAACGAGAGCAGTACGAAAAGTCTTCTCAGAAAGAGCAAGTTCAAGGTTATTATGATAGTACGTATTCTGACAGGACACACTGAATTACGGGCAGTATTACACAAAATTGGTTCAACGGTTTCTGACAAATTTAGAGCAGGTAGAGAGGACATTGCCCAGGTTTTGTCGAAATTAGATCCCAATATCTTGGGAGCGATATTATTCCAGATATAATACATTTCTTAGAAACGATTATTGGGAAATTGTAAGGAACTACGTTTAGAAAACTAAGTTTCTGAAGATTTTACAATAATTCCTTCCATATATTGCTATATAAGGGGTTTCCATAAAAAAGAACGGTCTTGCAAGTGGCCTAGGTGTATTTTTTGGATCTGATGTCAAATATATTTCACTTTTCAATTAAAAGTAACCTAAACAAAAGTAAACACTTTTGCCGGCAAAACAAATTGACATTATAACTAGGCCCATAGTGCCATCCAAAACAACACAGTTGGTCACATGTACAACATGTTCGCCCACAACATGTATGCAGTGCACATGACTGTTTATTAACGAAATTCATATTAACCCATTTAATAGGGCATAGAAAGACAACAACTACGAATAAAGTTGGTTGTAGTGGAGTCTTCTTGCTGGCAGTTGTCTTCGTCGTCAGTCTTCTCCCACAACACAAAAATATAAAAAATATTCGTAGTATTTGTTATTAATAAGAAAGACTATTTTATAAATTGTTTGAATTTTTCTTATTGTATGTGCAGCAGCTGTAATACGAGACATTTACTGATGTTGTCCAGTATGTTTTCTGTTTTTTTTTTTTTTTTTGTTTTCTTTGTTCATACAATTAGTTTTTTGTGCTATTTTGATTTTCTTTGCTTTATCTTGTTAGATTAGAGGTAAAGAATGAAGGAGGTCGGTCATTATCATCACAGTACAATAGTTTTTTACATTGTCTAGAAATTTATGAGCGAAACAGAACCAAAAAAACACACATTGAATATGAAAATTAATGTTGTATGGTACAACAAAAGAAAAAAATAATGATATGAAATGAAAAAAAAAATATTGTATTAATGAATGGATGTACATTTGCACTCGTCTGTTCATATGTCTATTAGGAATAATGAGAAATGTCATAGCAATGAAGTTTATATTAAGACGTATTATAAACTTTTTAGTCGAACAGGTTGGGATTAAGACATGTTAAGTTTTTGAAAGCATTTAATCGATTTTTAATAGTTTAATTTAGGTTTTAGTTAGTGGAACTTGTAGTATTTGAAATTAAGGAGTTTTCAAGAACTCCTGTTATACAGATTTTTGCATTGATCAAGATTTCTTACTTTTGATATCATTAAGAACTCAGATCAAACCCGCTATAGTCTAGTCACTCCACCACTCGCCTCTGGGCAGCTTCGCAGGAAGATAAGGACTACTCAGGTGGCAATTCTCGTATATGGAATGTCCGCCTAGTATACGTGCACTGAAGAGCTCGAGCTATTTAATCTCTTGCCAAGAGATCACATTGCGGTAAGACAGGTAACAGACGAATCGAGAGAGAGCGGTCACGGAAGACCCCCAACATCTTAGTCTCGGAAAAGACACCGAGATAGACCAACAGGTATATGCATAGTCAAGAGCGACGCCGTAGCATCCCTGTTCTCTAACGATCCGTCGGGTAGTATTAACAACTCTCAGTCGCACAACCATATCACGAAGCTCTGTTGATTCGGCAACAGCTCCTAGGGACAAATTGGTAGACCGAATCACAGACTCAATAATAACTTGACAAGACTTATTGCAGTGGCCATTAGGAACTACTGCTTTGTTCTAAGCATGATTAGAGTAAACTCCAAACACATCCAACCATGAAGGAAAATTGCCGATAAAACAAAGATTAAACATCCACCACACAACCGATCAACATCTTCTTCACTCCATCCGACATCACAACACTTCCATGTCTTTCAACACTTCCGTCACATCCATCCACTCCGACCATCCATCTCTTCCACCAGATACATTATACATTGTTTCTTCAGATAAGGATGACAAGTTACAGGATTACACGCAAACTTCCACGTCTAAAATCTAAGGCACCCTTAACAAGAAGCCTAAACTCTCAGGAGCTGCATGAAAGCCGATTCCCATTTACTCAACTGAATCTGAGCAAGTATATGATAATCCAAATACTGCCACAAGAATAAACGATATATTCTTATTGGTAAACTTATGTTCTAACTCTACTGAAGTTTTCGCCACCAATGGATGATGAAGACAAGTTATTGGAAAACACGTCAAACAAGAAAACTTGGATGTCCGAAAACTTAAACTGAGCAAGGATCTTACTGAAAAAAACGGTACCTGCATGTTGGTGGATTAATATCCAAAATGTTCCGCAGTTTATATCCCAACGGATTAGGAAGACGCATTACTGGATTACACGCAAATCTCAACGTCTAGAACCTAAGGCTCTAACTCTCAACAAGAAACATAAACCCTCCGCAGCTGAGAGCAAGATTGTGATGATCTACATTAAAGATGCTGGTTAACTATGTTTAAATACGATGAAAAAAGGTTCGACAGTTGCCGATTAAAATCTTGAATTCCAGTGTCTTAAAGACAATAAATACCGCTACCAAACTGATATGATGTAATGGAGGATATTCCACCTAAATTTTGGTTTCCCAACGGCATTCTTCGGTTAACACTGTAGGTCCCGTTTAGATAATTCACAATGATCTGCCATTATAGCCAAGTAATCACCTACTATCTATTTTTGCATTGTTCTTACAACTGCAAGATGGAATGGAACTTTCAGTCGGTAGATAGAGGTGCTATCAGTAGCTTTAGTCTGCCGGGGCTAGAAACTGCCTGAGCCAAAGAATACCTCAGTGTTATTTGGGTTTGAACATAATCCAGCTTATCTATTACTACGGGAGTCAGTGAACTGGAGGATTCTCTTCGGGAAATTCGTAGTGCTTGTGATTGAAAATAAAAACGCTCTATATTAATATTTTGTGATGAGTTTCCGGTACTATTACCGGCTTTTTAATTAATTAGTTTTTTGTTAAAAAGAAAAAGAAAAGATTTTCCACATTAGTTTGGAAAGTTTCATGAAAGAGAACCGATAATATGAGTGATAATATAGGAATAATTTTTAAATTTAAAATAATTAATTTGCTGCAAATTCAAATAATTTAATATCCCCTTTTAATTATACACCAACTTTGTTATCCAAAAACATATGTTCGTTCCGTCATTTCCTCTTAATTAACAATAATTTGTTTAACCAAAGACAAAACGAAAAAATCCATCCATTAATTTTTCTTTTTAATTTTCATTAAGAAAACAAATTCATATCACTTTGGCCAACGTACTTTCGAACATATTATTTAACGTAAATATTGCTCGGTTTTCATAGAAAATCGCTAATTACG